GCGAACCCTAGAAATGTCGGTGAACGATATTGTCGCCATTTTCAACCATAATGTCGTCTAATATATGTGGTCTTGCTTTTACTGTTTGTGTATTTAACGGTGACCCAGTTCGTTTTTTTTTTTTTAAATTTTCCTTCCATACGTCTTAGGGACATTTTCGTAGAGAAAACATTTGAAATATTTTTTTTCTATGTACGCACGCTCTTCCTTAGCACCAATCGAAAGCTTTCAGCGAACCGAACCAAAATGATTGAGTGACTAGGAATTATATCTTTGGCTGGAAATGACAGAACAAAAAAAAAGAAAGGCCGATCTCGAGCACGTAATGTCTAAACAACCACATGTATATATGTATAGACGATGCGTCAGAACTGGGGAAAGCTTTGGTGGACTGTTGTCATGATGGGCATGCGTTCACGGGCGAGAACCAGACGAAAGCCAATTTTTAAAACAAAAACAACGAGCTCAACATGGCCAATAACAGTGCGTTACGTTTGGATTTGGAGCAAAGGTCAGCTATTATTTGTTGCTCTCCGCGCTGGACGGGCATCCACAAAAATGAACAACTTTTTCCCGCCAAGTTGGCGTTCTAAAGTATTGCCAGTTTTTATGCGGCTATTGAAAAATCTAGGAAAAATATTTACGAAGCGAATTGTAAAGCCCAAAATAGGTTCTATAGATATGATAAAGACTTTTAGTTACAACAAAGCTTCTAATGGAAAAATTAACAGCCGTTTTAGGGAGGCTAACACGAATTGCCAATGGGATCGTTCGGACAAGATCGAATCACTAGCTTTTGAAGACTGTTTACATCTTCTAAATGTTTTGTACGCGTTTAAGTGATATTCCAACGAATTTACAGTTACCAGTACCGCAAAACGTGATTTGCACGTAGAAGAAAACACGCTTGTCACCGGTTGGATCCTAAATTGAAGCTATAATCGTAGCGTTATGTAGGACAACCATAATCGTCAGGAATGGCACTTTTAATACGTGTATATATTTCGTTGGAACAACTAGTTCTGCTTAGCGAAGTCTTAGAAATATAGGAACAATGTATTGATGTACATTCGTATAGAAAAACGGAACAGTTCTAAAGTCCTAAACAGAAAATAAGGCTAAGTTTATTTAATTTATTATGGGTAGCGTCGTTGGTCGCACATACAACAGTGCGGCCTATTTGTCTCCTTTCGTCTATTTAAGTACCCGACAAACGACTTGAACTATAAAAATCGCGGAGGCCGTTAATGCAATATCTGTACGAAGCTGCACCTCGACTAGTTACGTCAATAGTATATCGGGCAACGAAGAACGATAGTGGGATGCAATGGACGAAAAGATTCCACCCGTCGTATCTGAAGTCGTATCTGAAAAACGCATGTGTTGTTGAGAAAAAATTTGCTCGCAGTGATTATTAGAAGACATACAGACATCTTTTCTTCGTATGAACCGCAACGTCCCATAACCATATAAACTAACTAATGGCCATTAGCGTAAACGATACGGCGGACCGTTCAACACACCTTAAACAAAAGTACGTCTCTAGGACAGTTTTACGGCAGCACAACTGCCATTGTCAGACTGTTGAATTGACGAACTCTACCTACGCGCAGTAGTTGGTACAAGTTTATTGTAATTAATTATATCAGGGCCTTTTCTTCGTAGAGAAATAGGTAAGTAGCCAAACGTTATGCGAAGCTCAAGGTCGATCTTTAAAAAAATTCATCGATCTTACTCAAGCTATAAATACGGTGTACGGGTCTGACGCTCAGCAGAAAACACTGTTACAGCTAGAATACATCTATCCAAAAGACATTTTTTTTTAACATTTCGTCAGTCTTATAAGCGTTTGTAGCCGTTCGATGGACAGGGCTGACCTTCAAACCGTACACCGTGTCATGTATACAACGCTGTGAATCGGACGATATAAGCAGGCAGATGATTCAAGCGACAAAAGGGAGCAGACAAAATTAATATAATTTGGCAGTGTCAAGGCGTAGGTGGAATTCAAGGTACCGTCAAGATCGATATTGTATCAATCCTCAGCCCAGCCCTCTCTCGAAGCCCAAATCGTCAAAGGCCAGAACTACCGCCCGCCGCTAAAGGCAGTCCCGGCTAGACGCAACCGAATCCGGTAGAACTTCCTAGCGCGGGATTTGCTTCAATTCATTAGCTTCAAATTTGACTATGGGTTATTACTTGCTAAAGTGCTACCATCGTTTAGCTGGTCGTCGATGGCTGAAGATCGATTGATTCAGTTAAGCTCGCTCGAAAGATTCGCCCATGTTCAGCAAATATCACCGATGTCTACCAGATGGTTACAATATGTCTGTGTTCGTCCATACCCTTTACGACGAATTTACAATCGGGCACCCTCCATTTCATTGAGAGTGGTTAGATGAACGAAGGCGTGGGGGGTGACCGATTCATTCTATATCGCTAGCAATGACCCGTTTCCACATCGTATCGTAAACGGGTGGTGCGCCCCGTTGCTGCAGTATCTTACCATGGTGATTAATATGATAATAATGTAATGAAAACATGCTATGTTGTCTTGATTGCAAGATATAATAACTGATATAGACGATCTGTTTTTTGTAAAAGCATAAAGAAAACACAACGGCACGTATTTTTAGTTTAGTTAATTGAGGGTGATCTATTTCCATGATTTCCAAAAAAAAAAAGAAGATTAACCACGTTTTTCACGAAGTTAGAAAGATAGATAATACAAAATAAAGACTTGGTTAGTTTTTTCGAGCCCGGACTTTTGAGTGTTTTCGGTTGACGGGTTGGTTGTCTTTCCGAGATGTACCTCGATCGGGTCAGATGGGTCTACTGAAGGGTTCGACAACCCCTCGAAAGTTCAGAGTCAATGCGTTAAGCAAGATAGAAGACTAAGCTGGCCTGAGACAACACCGAATAGACGCGCGTCGATCAAAACGGACTCTACGATTGGACGCGTAGATAGATACTACCAGCGGCAAGATACATATGAGGTTTAAACGAATGTCTTGTCCTGTGATGGGCAACTGTACTTTAAGTAAGTACTCTGATTTATTTCATAAGGTCGAAGCTGTATTCTCCCATTGGCCGTCGGACGACAGCCTCGCCACTTTACAACACCGAAAATTCTACCCCCCCAACCCGACCCCAATCAAACATTAAAGTAGCGAGCTTTTGTAGGTTTCCCCTCACCACATTGGCTCATGAGAGAGAAACTGGTGAAGACGAACTCTAGATTGCGGGTTGAGCTGCGAGTTCGCTGAAAAAGAGACAGAGTTCCTATCAGACGCTTATGGTTCTACGGCAGTTTTCTCTATTTCATCTATAATTGTTTATTCAAGCTACTTCTTCGATTCCACTACCGAGTACTAGTAGTAGAGGGCAGATTGTTATGAGCGGGACAAAGTCAAAACCTAAGAAGACGACCAGAACAGTCGGTCTATTTGTTGGGCTGGCCAAGGGCTATGAGATAGGTTGAAACGAATTGTACTCGATCTCTTGAATTTTGAATGCATGCACATTGGCTCATAACTGTTCTATTTATGCGAGTGAGCTAAATGCCAGACATTAACTCTTTACTGCTACAAGAAGTTAAGCCCCGAGCTGCTCCGTGGGGGGCGAACAAAGAAGACATTTTAGACCGTTTCTTCTTGTGCTACGAGTGAATGTTTCCGTTTTCTGAAACCACTTGTCATTCGTGCTTTTCCCCGACTTGTCTAAGGCACCAGTAGTTAGTGTAAGAGGAATAGTGATTTCGTCCCTGTATGGATTCGCTTTGTGTGACTTCTGGCGGTCACATGGCGCGGATGCTTATGCAATGTGACCGTTCAGTCAACGGATACGGTGATCTGTTGTTGGATGTTTGCCGATGTCAGATGGCTTCGGAAACATCCAGACTTGATCAGTGCTATCGCTGATGTGCTACATGGGCGGCTTTTTAGTCACCGGTATCATTAAGCTGCAATGGTGTTCAGTGCGCAGAAGGTCAGGTGCTCTGCTATCGAACGTACGCCAGCGAGTGCAATGTCTGTGTCCAGGATATGAGAATCAAATTGGTTTGAACGTAAGCGTATGCCGTGGCGAAGTGCACGCTTGAGGAATGATCGTACTTCAGGCGTTCGGAAACAATCGATCTGTGTAATCTAATTCGATTACGTTGGCAAACTGGAGACCACAAAGGAGACAAGCCGATCAGCTGACGTTATGCTGGGCTCAATCGGACGAGCGCTTGGCATCAAATCAAAACGGTATTTTCGCAAACTGGACATTTTGTTTCTGTATTCAATTGCGATCATCGTGCAGTGTTTGCTGAACTACTAATTGCATGAACAAAGATAATGATTTGCCATATTTCGTCTAAATATCTAGTAAAATTTTTTTTAATAAGTATCCGTAACCCTTATAAGCATTTTTCGGATGACTTTTGAATGATTATATGGCCTTATTCTTCACCGATACTAACCGATGAAAAAGGTGTCATCGTTATGTTGCTGAAGTGATGTCTCGGAAGTTGTACATCCGTCACACTCGTACACGAGATTGACCTGAAGTGCGCTTACGGAACGAACATTATGGGCCCCTATATGATTATCTCGTGTAGTATGCCCGTCGGAAAGCCCGCCTGAAATTGTTTGTTTTTGTGATTTGCCGATTATTCAGTAAACCGAACAAAGGTGCAAGTATGGTTTTTTGAAGCTGCTCTCGAGTTTCGTTATATTATCGCTCTTAGCAGAACAATCATCTACTGATAGATATTCTTATCACCATGCTTATTTCTTTGTATCATAAGAAAGCCTTACACCCGAGCAGAGCACCAATACCTCAAAAAAGCAAATAGTACTTTTATAGGTTTCCTATCTTTCAATGTCGTGCGCATCGTTAGCCTCCATCAGTCAGACTATTCATCGACAATGAAGAACCATCTGGTTTTCCTGTTGCTATATTTCATACTAACAGTTAGGTTGCATGTTGTTTCTTTCGATTTCATTTTTGTCCAGGAGATCGCGGCCATCTTGGGATGCGCCGATGGCCGTCTCGGAGCCCTTAAGCATTCCTGCACCACCGTTCGGCCTATCCAGCTGTGGCGTCAACTCACGATCGACGCCTGCTTTGGCCGTGCTCGCCGCCCGCGAGCGAGGCAAGGAATCGCCTTATAAAGGGTTCAGCAAACCGGTTGATAAAGAGAACTCGATTGTCCGCGTTACCGCGTCCTCGTCAGCCCTCATTGCTTACGAAACACCCACGACGACAAATAACGTCGAACCGGCGATCACATCCAGCCCAACAGACTTAGTCAGGGATTCCGGTGCAGGCCAGAGGTGATTAAGCTCTAGGTTATATTACACTAAGCTACTTAGTGGCCAGTTAGTTGAGGATATTTTTCAAGGAATCAGCATTACTTTTTTTCTCAATAGAGAAAACATTAAACTGTTCGAACCCTATGATGAAAGCACTTATTGTAAAACGATGTGATGGTTCACCTGGGATTGAGATGTTAGCGACCTGAGAGTTAAGTCAGACATAAATAGGTCGATTGTTCGAATCTAAACATTTACGCAAAACTTTTTTTTCTTCGCGAAGCAGGTTTTTAAGAAAGTACCTTAAGACCTTTTAATAGAAAACGAGAGGAACATATGATGGTTACAGGCTTACGATGTCCAAAGGGGCTCCATTGCGGGAAGTTGTAACGTACTCTAAGACGAAGGCATACAAGAACCATTTGATGGGGGTTATATCCACATTACTTATGAACTATACTTAAACATCTAATACACTATTTCAGTGTATCCACCAGCAGGCTTCTAAAAAACAGCGACGTTAACGTAGAAAAAAATACCGCGTTGTGGCTTTCACGTCACAAGAAAAAGGAAGCCGAGCGTGACGACGCTGCAAATCGTAAATCGTACGAGGATATCTACGAGGAGGTTGCCTCAGGTCGTAAGGAGCAGGTGAATAGCAATACACAAATTAAAGTCACAGAAAAGCATACCCGATCGGCAAGCGATCCTGTTGGCAGCCAAGTGGAACAGTTTACACTTGGCGGCCGCCCAACAGATAAAGATACCCCTGTAGATTCCCTTTGGGCAGCCGGAGAAGCGGGTAGTCACTCGCAATCGATAATGACTAACGACAATTCAGACTCCTCCACGTATATCGACTCAGTGGGATCTGAGATGAAATGGCGTGACTCATATTCCGATCTAAGTGCATTTTCTGTACGTAGCTCAAACCAGAGTTCAGGCTTCGAGTCGGGACAATCAACAGTGGCTGATGCCGGACGCCTTTCACCACAGTCTTCACTTGATGGCTCCGTTCTCATGGGGAACTACGGGGAGCGTGTAATTTCACGATTCCCTATTCCAACGCGCGAAGGGGTCGCGCACAGTGCCAAAATTCCTTCAGCGGAACGCCACGATAGCGAGAGTGTCCTGTACTTCGGGCAAAGTCGGGCGAACAACCGGGGAGCTACCGTGAGCAGCAGTGCCAGCAGCGATTTCGACCGCCAAGAGAAGTATTCTCAAGGCTTAACATCACGGCAAGTGGACCAACGACAACCGGCACAAAGTAAGTCTAGTCTCGTAGAGGAGTCTACAGTCTGCGAACTCGATGACATACTAGGAGTTAATGGCAAACTTCTGGATCCTCTGAAGAAAACGAAATTGCCGGAGACGGAGTTGAAACAGATTCAGAAACAGGCCGTACTTAGTTACCTCCGTCAACGACAAGCGACAGAAAGCATTGGTGTGCGACCGACGCAGTTCCGCGACAAACCACCAGATACGGCTGAGAAGCCCACACCAGTGAAGCCTATGGCTGTTAAGCTCCTCGAAGTTAACGACATCCCGCCCGAACTGCCGCCGAAGATGTACAAGTCGTCGGAACTACTCCACGGCCTAGTTCAGCAGGCAAAAGAGATTCACTGGAATGCCGAAGGCCCGCCAGCAGTCGGCCTTAGAGAGTCCAACGATGCTAGAAAACCGCCACGACCACCACCAAAAACGTTTAAGCTCAATAACAATCGACAGAACTCGGCTGGCACAATGCTTAAGACGATGGTGACGCCGCCACCGATACGCGAGAAACCGGAGAAGTTGCGACAGAGAAGAGGTAATGACTCAGCGCTAGTTATGGCAAAAATGGTGTTTATTCCAATCTCGGCGTACAGCTCACCAGGGAGGTCTGACTCAAGTGACGTGGACAAGCCGTTGGATAACGTCTCACATCGCCAACAAAATTTTAACGCAGCTCCTATAGCACTGACACTATCGAAAGACGAGCATCGTCGGACAGCCTTCAGCGAAACGCTACACCCTTCGTTGGGGCTTCCTTTTACGCTATCGCAACAATTACCATACGAAGCAAACAGTAATAGCCAATTGCTGAAAAACGGAAACTCATCTGCCGTTATCCTCAACAAGGACGCTTCGAGACGATCTTTAAGGACTTCTCCCACGACAAAATCTGAGGAGACAAGCCCTCGGCAAACGAGATTCGATGATGGTTATGGAACATCCCTAGATGATGAAGATGAAACGACACCAAGTGTAGATGTTACTCCAGTTGCTGCTATACTTCCAGTTAAACTTCAGAAGTCAACCTCTCCGCACAATCGAGCATCCTTAAAATCGCTCGAGGTATGTTGCTTACAGAAATCTCTGATCTCGACTCCGTGTATAGCCACCCTTTATGGAGACAAATATGAAAACTCTGCCTGTTTAAATGCGAGTGTAACGCTATGTATGCTATTGTATTTACACTTGATACGATTAAATCTTACATCTTTAACAGTTCAACATAAATCTGATCGCAGTAATAATGAGTTACTTCTTAAGCGAAGATCCTTATTTGCAATCGCGACTAAACTGCTTCCGGTTCATGAGTATACACTTTTATATATATAGACAAGCACGCCAACATACTTATATGTCAAAGCATACTTAGGGTTTGTAGAAAAATTCAGGTGTTAATTAAAAGATCGTTTTGTCCTTCAGGCTGATCCTGAAACGGTTCATTCGGCGAAGCTATTCGGAATAACCCGGTTGCGCCTGTCTCAAGAAGAAGCCGCTGTCCGAGAAGAAATCGTTGCCAATGATGCGTTTGGTCTTGAGTTACGTGCGCGTCTCGAAGAGCTAGGCCGTGAACGTGAACTGCGTAAGCTGGCGAATTACATCGGTGAAGTAGATGATATTGCCGCATTGGTTGTCGCGCTGGCTTTACGCATTGCTCGGACCGCAGCGACGCTTCAAGCGCTTGGCGCTGAGGGACTCGCTGACCATAAAGTGAGCTAAAAAAAACTCCCTAGATTAAAAAAAATACCTATATATTGTCTAGCTGTTTTCGAGGTAAACGCATAATTGCATTTGTTGATCGATGTGACGTAGTAGATATCATTTTACTAAATCCATTCTTCAGCATATTTGTTTTTCTTTGTTCGACAGGCCCAATTAGTGCAAAAGTTAGAAAAGGCCGAGAAGGAGCTGGACGAGGCCCGTCGACTTGAATCAAACTGCGAAAAACGCTGGGCGTCATTTGGTGCACATCTTGCCACGTTCCTTGAGCCGAAAGAGCTCGTCGGACGGTACCTGCACTTCATGAAGAATCGGGCTGATCTCTTAGTCAAGCAAAAAACGATCCAAGACCGTCAGCAAATGCGCAAACCGTGATTTTAAAGAGAATTAGTGCAATTGTCACCAGTGATCCTAACATTGAACATAAGGGCGTGGCAATATGACGACACTTGGAAGGGTTACGTTAAGCTGGCGACAGATTCTCGTAGGAACTGGATCAGCACCCCTGAACGCGAACGCATAAACGATTCTAGGAATGTCTGAAATATTGTGACGATTTCATTGGCGTATTCGGGGGGACCAATGGCGTGAATGGTTAGTAAACTCCAATCTACAACCGCGGATGTAACGGGTCGTTTCAGTTCGACAAAATAAGGACCGTCATATTGACATTGCAGTATAGTTGGCAACAGTTCAGCTTAAACGAAATCGTCCTGCACTAAGGTTAGGTTAAATGAGCTCTTGTTATACTAGCGACAGACAGTGTTTTGGAAGAAAGCAAGCTACTGAGATTTGTCTCAGAAGTCTGCGCTTGTTCGGCGCACGTTTCCGAATGATGCGTTAGACTTGATAGGGGAATTTTTTTTATTAAGTCTTTAATAATTCCATTTGTGACACATCTGGTAGCTGACTATGTTACTACATGAGGGGTCAGCTAGTAATAATAGAAGAATGAATATATCATCTATATATCACCTGGTTGCACTGTACAAAATAAAAGTTGCAAGCTATGTCTTGAGTGTAGAACGTAGATTGACAAGGGGTTTACTCCAATAGATCGAATAAATCGACAGAAGCTTCCAGTGGCAACAGAAGCTATATCCAAGATCTGCTAAACTGATGTTATAGGTTCTATTGGATTGCGTAAAGAAAATGACGAATTGAGTGTCTGCGAAGGGATAATGTCTTTTAAGGCGTCTGTAGAGATACAAAGTTATGGAGAATTAAAGGTAAGACCTTGTATCTCTATAAGGTTGTTATCACCGTGGATGAGTGCATAATGGCGCTGAGTTACAGCAACAGCGTGATCAATATGGATGCAGAGTGAACAGATATCATTCTACATTTGTATGTACTTGTATTATATGGACTATGGACTGATACGCCAGACATGGATGGCATCATATATATATGATGCCATCCATGTCCATATATATATATATATATATATATATATATATATATATATATAAACCAGTATAGATGCGTGCGGGACTTACAGCGAGGCTTCTGGCGAATGCATGCCGCAACTATAAATATTTCTCAATATATTTTATATATATATATATATATAATTTTTAATAAATGTAAGCAAGCGATATATTTGAAGAGTAAGCAAAATCCATTTTGTGTGTTCATTTCCATTACCTGGTAAATATTAACCTTGATTGAGAAGTGTATTGAAGATTGCCCCAAAAAGACTAGCCCCAAAAGAAAGTGCAATTTTAGTGATACGATATGTGTTTCTTTAAAACGAATCTTCTCGTACTTTTTTTTTACCTAACGCGCTGTCTCGGTCAGTTTTACCGACAGCTCTGTCGATGTGTATATACGTAACACCAAGCCACAGCTACACTGGCCTTTGCTGCAACAATTGTTCGTAAAATATAACTAAACAGATCACCAAGTTTTATTTCAGCTTATCTGAGCGATTTTTGAGATTCGCTGAATTCAGGAATTTCATTCTTTTAATGCTAGCCTATCATACATGCACAATAATTTGTTATGTTCATTTTCTAACCTTCCTTCTAAGAATCATTTATGCAAGCCTAAATGATGTAAACCCTAGCTAATACATACGATTTATTTACGTAATATCAATTGCTATATATCTTTCGCTTTTTATTGATTCCTTATAAGATAATTTCGGTAAGAGATCTAGGCTTCTATAGTAGCCCCCGATTTTTCTAAGAATCGTTTAAAATCGTAATTTTCAGCTCTGCGGCAAAAGAGTATGTCCTAAACTTTTCTAGCAAAATATACTACATAAAAATATGTGTTATGTGAGCATAACAGCAGCCTACGACGTCCCACCTTGCGCTAATGTATAGTTTATTTGCCTCTAAAAAATTAAATAAAGCTTCGTAAAAATGCTTGTTTTTGAAAAGAGTTTACGAAGACAATTAATTGCAAATGTTTGAAGTTATTGTATCGAATCGAATGTATGGAATCAAAAAACACCCCTTTATTTTTATTAGAATGCACCTATTACATATCATTAGTATCAGTCGTTTATTTATTACTCCAATCATTCCATTATTATTATTTACTGTAAGCATCGCTGATGGATGGCCATTTTTATTTGGTATAAAACTTTTTAATCAACATCGCGAAGCCCATCGTGCATGCTGCCAAAGCAATAATAATAACGTTACGTTTATTTTTTCTGTGTCTACGTTTATGTGTCCGAACCATCGTAAGAAAACGTTTCTAATGATTTTAACGAGTTTTTTTTAGTGCAGCTTTGTTTAACGGGAAAAAAATTGCATGGTAAGATCGAAATATTTGGAAGGATATGTTTCAAGAAGCATCTCCATAGGTTCTAATGTGAACTTGTAAAAAAGACTCTCGAGTTGCTATTGAAAACGATTAAATATCTTAAGCTCCACGTTTTAAGACTCCACTCAACTTAAGCTCCACGAGTTTGTAAGAACACCTTTTAACTTTCTCATTTTTGCAATCGATTAATTTAACCAGATTCCTTTACCGGCCGAAAAGTTGTATGGCATTTTGAAAGCTACAATCAGTTTTACTTAGAAATAGCAAAAAAAAAATTCTATAGGGTGATGCGATAACTTTAATACGATAGCTGGTTGATAATAGCAACGTTACTTTGCAGTGAAAGTGCAAGCTAATCAAGATGAAAAATTGGCATAACTATTACGAGGTAACGGTACTGGCATACTGAAACTAGCGTAATCGAATAAAAAAAATGTAGTGGGTTGGAAGAAAAGGATGATACGAGACCAAAAACAAACCTAAAGTAAAATTTAATGCCATCAAATTCGAGCTCATTTTGGATTAAATGGACAACTGCAGCAGAATGGGTCTCTAATGTACCCTGTGTGTGGAAGAGAGATAGCCGGTTAGAGAGATGAGCCGATGCCTCAATCCGAAGGTGTGTCAGGAGAATGTGCTCAAATTTGTTGTTTCCTGTTGAATAAATACGAGATCCGAACGGTTACAAATCCTTAGCGTTCCTTCAGTTGATTGACGGTGCATAATTAACTGGTTTCTTAAACCTCCATATTAGCTTTGCATGCACTGATCTCTATAACCTTCGTGTGACTTGTTCCAGGAGAAAATACAAGCGTTTCCTTTTGGTTCACAGGCATAACATTCAGGACGAGATTCTGTTCTTTCCAGTCATTCTTATACGTTCCTCAATTTCTCAGTTAGAAATTTATTTTTAAGCAGCTTTCGGCTCTTACAATATGCAGATACATCTACCTCGAGTAAAAGCTATTCTACTGGTTCTTTGCAACCTTGCTGAGTACCATCCATCCTTCGGGTTTCGTATGTACGTATTTCTATTTTTTCCTTGTCTTCCTAGACACTTGCGCCGTCTCAGTAGTACCATACCTTGTTACACGCAAACATGTCCCGAGGTGGCCTAGTATCATACGGCGTGGTATAGGCAATAACTACTGCCATATGTTTGTACGCTGCTCATGACGCTTACGTTGTTTGGCCATCTAGTTGCTTTTTTTTTCTGCTGCTAACAAGAATTGTTTCCGTTTGCCTTTTATCCTCCTTCATACAAAGGATATAGGTTTTCTACTGTTACCTTGCCACTGTTCCTGCTGCTGTGCAGCTGGCTAGCGTAGGCTGTCCAGCATTAGCCAGATACGCTTTCCGTGTCTTCTTCTCGTCGCCTTATATACCCGGCAGCATCTGCTGACGCTGGCATCATCGACAGTTGTGGTTTGTAGTTCGTTCTACTTTCGTCTTTTGTATCCTTTTTAGCTCTAACACTCACCGTCGCTTTGCACTCAGGCGACAGGATGGCTAGCAAGCCTACAAACAGTCCTCTTTCTCAGATCTGCTTTTCCCTTCGGCCTGTGTTCTTTTTCCTTTTTCGTAGTTAGCGTCATCATCTTCGTCGTCGTCCTCTTCTTTCTCGCTTCTCTTTAAAAGTTTCCCAAAGCCAAAGACATTTTTAAGTGTGTGGCTTTTTATAGGAAGTAACAGCGACGCCGGCGCCGCCCTTTCCCGATTTGGCTGCCTGCTTCGCTCGTCCGTTCCTTAGTTCTTTGGGTACAATGAGGAGTAGAACTGGGGCATTCTTGGCCCCCAATACTCGTGGTATGGACCTAGTGGTGCAACGAGACTCTTGTCCTTCACGGGAAGAGTCTTGCAGCCAGGCTTGACGGCTGATTTGACGCCAAACGAAAGAAATCGACAAAGTTTCCTGGATCCCTGCTGCCCTGCATGATCGCCATACGCCCACACTATCTTTTCTATATTTCCCGCGCTCCTGTCTCTATTCGAAAGGGCCAGCGCGACACTTCTCCCGGCTCTTCGACTCGGCGGCGTTTTCTCACCCGAATCCCAGCGTGCAAGGGCTACAAAGGCGCTAGGGATGACAGGCTAGTCCGATACTCGTAGAATGTTAGTGGTTATAGTTGCGGCTGAGGCTGAGCTTGTAGAGGTTCGGTGGTTCAGTCGCATTGCCGTTCAGACGGACACACAAACCGACATTCGGCCATCAATATATGACATATTTCAGCCAACGCGCATTTCGCTCGCCGCTGCTGTAACAGCGCTCTCTGTTAGTCATAACAATTTTTGTCGAGTGAGTGCCGTCCGGATGATAGTGGACTCTTCGAATTGAAGAGTAAGAACCCCTAACTATTGTCGAGAGGCTCGACTGATCGGAAGCTGACAATGACGAGAGTTCGACGTTCAGTTAACAATTGGCTTTTTGCCTTTCTCAAGAGTCATACCGTTTGCAATTTGTATTCATCGGTCTGTGCTCAGCTGATACGTGATTTATCGATACATATAGTAACGCAGAGATGGAGGAGTCTCAACAAGATTTCGAAATTATATAGCTCTAGTCGAATCTACAGCTAGTTAGGCCAAATCAAGCGCGTCCTGATGACAATTTTGAAGATAACAGCGTCACTTGCAAATATTTGCTTGAGAAACCATCAAAGTACTTCTCATATGTTTTGGGATGCGTAGTTCATGTGTATTGATTGTATTGCCAGGTCGTTCTGTAAAGATGGAACACTCGCTGCTGAAACAATGTTCACCCCTTGAAGTTCACACCGTGCTTTTCATGTCCAGGGGTTTCATAAATAACAGCTGACTGTCCAGCACAAGCCGAACACGTCAACCGCTACCAATTTTTTAACTTTCTCTTGCTGGTTTTTTTTTTTCGCTAGGTACATTTGAACTCAACATAAATAATTAGATCTGTAGAGTTCAACATTTTTTTAATGTGTTCCTTATCGGCTTTTTTTTTTTACATCTTTTGTAGCTACAGAATGCCATGAAGATACTCAGATCATTCAAAAAAAAAAGAGACCTCGTTCGCTATTTAATGCTAATGTCCGATTACAGCCAGTTAGTTCCAATACGTGGAGAGCAAATCTTGTTGCAGAACTATCATTTTGTTCAAATACATTTGTTTTTTGTTCTTTTTGGACGTGTTTCGCTGAGTAAAATACCTGTTAACTACCGAGGTTTATAAATGGCGTACGTTAAGCAAAAGACAGCCTTACAATGAATTAGGAAATAATCTTCGTAGGGGTCTATCGTATCACAAAAAATGGCCATAATGAAATAATTTTGCTTGTGCGACATCTGGACTATTGTGTAAGTATAGGTGTATTCAATTCGACACCGGTTATATATATATATATATAAGCCAGGTTTGTTTATCGATGTAATGTTTGCTATGGTGTTACATAATAGCCTACAGAAATAGTTTACCGAAGCAGTCCTGTCGTCCATCAAATTGTCGTCAAAAAGGCGATTGGCTTGTCTTTGTTACTAATGCTGGCGGCAGCCAACTGAACAGTCGCTTTTCGTTTTTTTAGTACGACTGGCCTTAGAAGCAGGCGTCGAATGGAGGCTCAGGAGCCGAAGAAGCCGTGCTACCAGTAGCAGCAGCAGAAACTGCGAAAAAGGCCAAGTCAAGTAGCGACCACTCCAAACACAAAAAGCCGTCAAAGTTGGAAGGAACAAAGATTTTTTAGAAGAAAAGCGCTGGCGAGCGAACGGGGTGGGGGGTAGTGATGCCAGTGGTGGTGGTCATGGAAAGGCGTCTTCGAGAAGGGCAAGGACCGTCAGAGG